GACAGAATCCGGCGCCCCGACTGGGACTAGAACCGGGTGTGCCGGCGCCGCAAGACGGAGGATTAGCCTAGTGAGCCACGGCGCCGGCCGTCCACTGTATTTATATGCTTCTTTTAATCATGTGAATGGATAACCTATTAAAAACTAACCTAAAAAATCACTTGTGTGAATTTAAAGTAAAACAATTCTTACACCACAAAGACTTAGGTATGATTCTATAATTTAAGGGATTTAAAAAGCCACGTTCCTCAAAATTATTTTTTCTCACTGGCCACTACAACTTAATCCCCTCGTTAAAATGCAAACAAATATCCTGAAGGCAGTAAATATATTATACTATTCAGTACTTCAAACGATTAAGGAATTGTTTATCAAATCAGTATAATAAAAGAAAGCTATAAAGAGGCTATGGATAGTCACCCTAATTCCTGTTTCTTTTCCTTTTCCCCTCAAGTAACTAAATTAAGTTTGTTTTACTCAAAGAGCATTTGTGTTAGTAAAAGAACTCATTTAGGAATTCTACAAGTCTGATCCCAGCCAACTGGAACAGTTGATAGCTTTGTGAATGTTTTTACTGTCTCTGCAAACATCTGCCCTCCCATCCAGTCTTTCTCCATCAGTCTAATCTGTCAGGTCTGAGAGAACAGGAACAAGGAGTATTCCTGTTCATCTCAAGTCCTCTCCAAGACCAAAAACACTGTCATGTACTTCCAGGAAACAATTATCCAAGCTCTTACTGATCCTACTGCAAAGCTCTAACTCTTCTCTAGGAAACTGGTTGAAACTTCAATTCTAAAAATGGCAATTAGATGCTTAAATTTGTTCTCATCAAAATTCATCAAGAGCATACAACGTGCTCAACATAGCACCCAACAACTAACAAAGCAAAAAATTATCTAATGGGATCTGAATATGAAATATGTAGCAGATATTCAGTAAATGCTTATGAATTGGATTTGATGAACTTCTTAAGCATCTTATCTGGTTGATCTTCAAGTTTTTCTTCACCTGACAGTGGCTTTTAGTTCCCCTTATGCTTTTAAACACCAAACTTTTGTGGCCGCCATTGTGGTGCAGCAAGTTAAACTACAGCTTGCGATGCTGGAATCCCTTAAAGGTGCCAGCTGTTCCACTTCTGATCAGCTCCCTGCTAATGTGCCTGGGAAAGCAGTGGAAGATGGCCCAAATACTTGGGCCCCTGTCACCTAAGTGGGAGACCTGGATGGAGTTTCTGGCTCCTTGCTTGAATCTGACTCAGCCCTGGCTATTGTGGGCTTTGGGAGTGCACTAGAGGATAGAAGATATCTCTCTGCATTTCTCTCTCTCTGTAATTCTGGCTTTCAAATAAATAAATAAATAAATAAATCTTTAAAAAACAAACTTTTGTGGATTTTCTTCTATCAGTTCTCCAAGCTTCATTACTAAAATGCTTATTTATTTTTGAACTTGTAAGACATAAATCAAGAAGTATCTAGAGCAAAAAAATGTTTATTATTTGAAGTGGTGGACATTTTAATTAGCTTGATTTAATTATTTCACATTTTAGGGTCATAACATTACTTTGTACCCCATAAATTATAAATGCCAACTTATAATAAATTTTTTTATGTAAAGAGAAAAATCCAGACCAGACAATGATAGAAAATTTGATAATTATTCTCTCTTACCTTCCTATCATCAAAATGTAAGGCATATTTCCTCTTTCCTATTATGAGAAGACGTACTTTTAATTACTGGTCTTATACTAAGTTCTCCTAAACTATTGATTCACTTGTACCCTACGTTTCTTGATATTATTTGGTTGGATCAAGTGCTGGTGTCCAGTAACTGTGGCTGGTTAATCTGAGGCTCAGACCCAGAAGAGGTAATTGGCCTGGCAGACACCAAACTACAATCCTGGTCTAGGAATACCACACTATGACAGTCTACGCAGAAAACCCGGGCTAACAATTATCACACCAGGAGCAGACTGGGCCCAGAGCATCACAGCTCCAGTCTGCTGGCCTGCAAAAAACTCACATTTTTCTCAAATGGAGCCCAGATATCAACAGTCAAGACTTCAGCATCAACCTTTCTGAGTTCACACAAAAGTTGCCCTAGAATCTGAAAATACCACTGGATATCTGGGATAAAATTTCTACCTGGGATAACATGATGTTTACTACTTTAATGAACAGTAGTTCTCACCCAAGTGAAATCAAAAGCTGTGCACACAGGAGGTGCCCACTAGATACCTGGAGAGCTAAGCAGTAAGTTACTGACCACAAGTCATTAGCAACCATTATCACAAGAAAAACCCCTTGACTCCTACCAGGTACAAGGGATAACGGAAGTGTAGACCACAATTGATAACTATACCGTGAAGTATCTGAACACTCCTAGATATGCAACATCTTTTCTGCTTCCATGTAGGCTTCACTGGTAACCTACTTTTGGCAGCCTATGCATTTTTTTTCCTCTGCAGAAGGAAGCCAAAAGAGAGGCCCGAAGAAGGATGTTCAGATAGACAGAAGGATGGATTCCTCTGACAAATCCAGGTCATACTATGGGAATTCAAAATGTACTGCCTAAGAATGAGGATTTGTTTTCTTCATACTGGATCCCAATTTCTGTAGAAGTCACTGTTATCCTGAGAAGCTCCATGTGGCTGATTGCTAAACAGCCTCCCCCTCTACATATGTTAGATGACCTCTGTGATCCATCCCCTACCCCCACAGAACTGACACACATTTTATACTACACCACATGCTAATGCTCCCTTCCCATCCTTCCATTCATAAAGAAGAGCACATTTACACACACACACACACACATTACCGCAAGTACAACAGAGTAAAGTACAACTTGAGTAAACAGCACCAGTACTATCAAGAAAAGAGAATTTTATGTAAATGTGGATTCCAATTCTAAGAAATAAATAACTTACAAAGTAATTTTTGGGGCCGACATTGTGGTACAGCAGGTTAAGCCACTATGTGCAGCACCAGCAATCCTATATGAATGCCAGTTTGAGTCCTGGCTACTCCACTTCTGACCCAGCAACCCTGCTAACACACCTGGGAAAGCAGTGAAAGATGGACCAAGTGCTTAGGCCCCTGCACCCACACAGGAGACCTAGAAGAAACTTCTGGCTTTGACCTAGCCCTGACCATTGTAGCCTTATTTTTGGGAGTGAACCAGTGGATAGAAGATACTCTCATTCTCTCTCTGTAATCCTTATAATAAATTTTTTTAAAAAGTAACTTCCTAATGTACTTACAGAATTCAATTTCAAAAAGAATAATTAAGAAATTACTTGTTTCAGATAATACTTTACCGCTTCTGTTATCTGAAATATTCAGATACCATACATGAGACTGCACATGCTGCTTTATTTTCTGTGTCACCTTTAAAGTACTAATTTCTCTAATTCCTTTTCTACATCATCTTCCTAGATAATAATGCAAATTTTACCTATGCAGAGGTGCAGAGTTTTCAGGGAATATATGGCTTACAACAAGAGAGATCTAAGCACTCAGAGGTGGCCTGCAGTACCCTGACTTTGACCCCGACCTCAACATCTAAGCTTCTTTCCCCTACCACCCAGTCACTCACACTCACTTACTCTTAACCATTTTTCACTTCATAAGCAAGTTTCACTATTGCAAAGTACTTCTTTGTTACTGTCTGGCCTCATAGGAATATTGTGTTTTATTGATTCAACCCCAGTTTTCAGAGTGCTACCTGGCTTGTGTAAGATGCTCAAAAACATGTACTAAATAAATTATAAATTCTTACAATACTCAAGAGTTGATCCTTTAGCAGTCAATAAGCAAGTAATAAAATCTTGGGGCCCTTACTTATCAATGTAGAAAAAAAAGGCAAGGAAAAGAACACATCTACCTACCAACTCTTGTTAAATTAGGTGTTAAAAATGGACAGCTAGGTGAAGGTTTTTAAGAGAAATAATCATTAAATTTTTTTGAGACTACCAATTTTGAAAACAGAGGTTTATTTAATCAACCTACAGAATGAGGACTCCCGACTGCCTTACATACAGCCCTCCAGCCATTACCCCAGCCAGTCTGCACCGTGAAGTGGCAAATTCAGAAAAGCAATTCTGGAGAGCAGCATGATGCTTTCTTTTTTTCTAAACAAAGGAGTAAGCAGGTCGTAGAGTGAGCAGATACAAATCCTGCAAACAATGGTCATTCTAACATTTGTAGGAAGTTGAGCCACTGTCATTGCCCTCATCCCAAAGGGCTTGGACAATCAACTTCAGCTTAATGAAGGTATCATTCAGTCAAGCTACCATAAACCTTGTAGAGGATTATGAAGAGAAAGCTGGGAGACAGAAAAAGTAGTGAGTTTGGCATTGAGGGAGAGAGGAGGAACTCACTGCAAATATTGTTCTTTGCTAGATCTCTAACCCCAGCCCTATCGCCCCATACCTCAGAGCTCTCCTTTTGTTGCAAGCAACAGTGGTTATTGGCGTCCCCTTCCTAAATTACGGAAACCAGTGAGGACTGCACCACTACTTAACAACACGGTGTGGTAAGAAGTGTATCCGGTTTGGTCCTGGGCGGCTGACCTAACCAAGTTTCTTCTGGAAACGGTCCTTAAGTTACCTCCCACCGAGAAGGGGCAGAAGAACCAACCGAGAGTGCGGTGCAGACTGCGGTGGCTGTCTCCGGCTCACGGGAGATCTGGGACGAGATCTGGGATGTTCACCCAGCTCTCAAGGTGGGGACCGGGGACCGCGGCTGAGTACCAGCCTCTCACCGCGCCAGGTCCCGACCCGTCGCCGCGGGGAGCCCACGAAAGGCTCGCATCCACCGGCCGGGCCCACACGCCCCAGCCCCGCTTCTCTCGGACTTCCAGCTCCCGGGTGGGGAGCCGGGGCCCGCGAGGAGGACCACGCCGCCGCCAGCGGGGTCTCCGAGAGCCGGTGGCTCGCACCGGAAGCAGGGAGGGCCGCGATGAGGCCGCGGGCGCTCGAGGCAGCCGAGACCGGTACTCACCTCCGGCCGGAGGCGGACGGCCGCGGCCAGGCGGCTCCAGGTAGCGACGAAGTCGGGCGGAGGGGCTCGCCGGCTCCGGCAGACCAGAGCTAACAGGGTCCCCAGCAGGAAGGCGGCCGCGGCGCAGCTCAGGTACAGGGTGAGCCGGAGCAGGACGGTGCACGGCCCCGCGCCTCCAGCCGTCTCCCAGCAGCCGGGCGCCAGAAAGGAGAGGGCCACGGCAGCGACTGCGGCCACGGCCACGGCCACTCGCCAGCTCCTGCCGCCCGGGTCCCTCGGCACCGCCGCCGCCGCCTCCGCGTCCCCCCGGGACTCCCGCCGCCGTTCGTCCCTGGCGCCCGGGCTAGGACGGCCGCCGGCGCCTGTGGCCGGCGCGGGGCTGAGGCCGGCGCCGCTGCTGTCGGTGGCATCGGGGTGCATGCTGCTTCCTGTGCCTCTAAGGACAGGCACATCTCCTGCCCTGCTGGCCCCCGGCGCTGCCCTGGACGGTGGCCTCTGCGCGGCGCCTCCTGCCCTCGCCACTCCCGCCGCCACTCCGGAGGCACGGGGAGCCCGCGCTCATGCCCTCGCCGGCGGCCCACCGAGGGAACGGCTCCAACAGACGCCGCCGAGCCCCTCCCAGCGACCCCTCAGCGCCGCCCGCCGGCGCCGGGCCCGCAGCTGCCGGCCCAGGCGCACCCAGGTAGCCGGCCCGTGTTGTGACTGAAGCCGGCGATGCCTGACGCGGGGCGGGGGCGAGGGCGGCCCCGAAGTGCGTGTCAGGCGGGGGGCGGGGAGCGACCGGGCCTCTGACTGACAGCTGGGAGGTGCCGGGCCGGTGTCCACCCACGGCGCGGGGGCGGGGTCCGGTCGGCCGCTGCCCCACGGGGAGGGGGCGCGACCAATGGCTTCGAGAAGTGCTCTTTCCCGCGCTCCCGCATCCCCTCCCCCGCCCCCGTACGGTCGGTGGATGGAAAATTTTGCTGCAGGTGTTTGTAATCTTCGAACCCAGGTGATCCCGTAATTCTCGCTCTCGGCTCACCGGTGACAAGTAACGTCCTCGCCGGGCCCATAACCCCCCAGATTTCTGTCTTGCGTCCTCCCCTTACTTAGATTCAACGGCAACCATTCTTGATCCTCACTTTTCATAGCTGCTAACGACCTTCCCTTTCCCACCGGGGGCCTCAGGTAAGGACTGGGCGAACGTGGAGTCAATGAAGCCTGCAGTTCTCGGTTAGGGAAAGGCCCAAAGAAGTCTGCCTGGGGCCAGATTTCTTGCAGAGCTGCCGGAGTCACTTTGGCTCCAATCTTGGGCTTTGGTTGCCAACTCTTCTGTGCAAACGCTGTTATCTATGCAAACGGAAGTGGTCCAAATAGTGCTGAGAGTACATTTTTGCCCCTTCTCCTCACATGGTCCCAAGACGGTAATATTCAGATAATGCTTGCGAGGAGGTAGATGCCAGTGTGCTACATAAACCCTGGCAATTACTGCTAAGCCCTAGAAAGCAGCACAAGTATCTCTAGTGGATAATGGAAGTAAAGGAATACTGAAGAGACTACAGATGGTTTATTTTAAAGAGGAGGAGGGAAGGCAAATCAGGAATGAGAAGAGGAAGAGAAGAGTTAAAAAGATTAGGGGAGCAGTGAAAAATATAAGGATGTGGGGAACATTTGAAGGCAAGAGACCAGGAACTCTCTCCATGTCACTCTAATAAAGAATTTGAGTACATGGATCTATACCTTGTATATTATTATGTTTTTGAAAAGGAATCTGTGAGTGAGTTTTAATAGTGTCATTGCAACAAAGGAAAAATACAATATTCATATGAAGGAAATAAAATATTTAGTGGATATTGATTGCTTTGAAGCAAAGTATTACCCAAGAGGTTGCTATTCAAAAGAAAAAAATTACTGGTATCCACAGATATTCGCAGTCCACCTATGTATTCAGTCCACATCTTCATGATAAATTTCCCTGGAATGGATTTCAAGTGGGAGATTAAGTCAGTCTCTAACATTTAGCTAATAATATATCCCGAACAAATTGATATAGTAGTGAATTACTTCATATATCTACATAAAAACAAATCTAGTCACATTTGTTATTTCTATAAAGCTTTGTTTTTCAATATTAATTGGTATTCATGGGGCACTTCATTCTCTTATAGCTTGTTAAGTCAAAAATTAGGAAATAATGAGTTCCTGTTCTCTCTCCTTTAAAATAAAGCATAACTGATTTTTGAAGAAGTCTTTTGTCTGCAAAACAGTTGTTAATATTCATCCCTTTGGGGCTCCTCAAGACTGTAGGCTACAAATCCAAATTGTTTCAAATAAAGCATAGTAGTTTGTTATTACCAACAATCATATCTATATTTTTTATCATTTATGTGCCAAGAGCTGAATGCCTAAGGCTTTATACATTTTCCAATTTAAACTCATAGCTAACAATAGTAGTAAGTAATTGAGCACTTAACTGTGTGCCAGCTACTGTTCTAAGCACTAGATAAACTTCGTTTAATCATGACTACAACCTGCTATATACCATCAGGATTTGATTCTCACTGTATGTGGATTAGTTTCAGAGCTTGTGAATTGAAGCACTACACCACAGTGCCTCCTCAAAACTCTGATTTAGTCATCGCATACAGGTTTTAGAGAAAAGCACAGTTTAAATCCATGAGCCCAAGACTTAGATTCCATGTTTGAAAGTATTTAGTTTTGTTGCCTTCTGAGAAGACCAGAATCTTCACTAGCCCCCTACAAGTGCTGACTATAACTTCCATAACTAAAGGGGAAATTGGTCTGACATTTTGTTGACAGCCCAATCTGTAACTTTTTTTTTTTTAAGATTTATTTATTTATTTGAAAGTCAGAGTTACACAGAGAGAGAAGGAGAGGCAGAGAGAGAGAGAAAGAGAGAGGTCTTCCATCTGCTGGTTCGCTCCCCAATTGGCCACAACAGCTGGAGCTGCGCCATTCGGAGCCAGGAGTCTCCTCCGGGTTTCCCACGTGGGTGCAAGGGCCCAAGGAGTTGGGCCATCCTCCATTGCTTTCCCAGGTCACAGCAGAGAGCTGAATTGGAAGTGGAACAGCCAGGCGCTGAACCTGCGTCCATATGGGATGTGGGCACTGCTGGCAGTGGCCCCACCCGCTACGCCACAACGTTGGCCCCCCAATCTGTAACTCTTAAGATCATGGGCTTTCTGATACAGCAGTATGTTGTTCGCAAGAGTAACACAGATCTGAAGAAATGTAAACCTGTAGTCAGAAAACCACTTGGAAGTTAAAGCTATACTGCTGCCAAGTCAGCAGTGACAATCTCTATCCTACTCATGACTGGAGAAAACACTGGAGAGGCAAAGCTAAGATGAGGGTTACCAGGGGCCAGTGCTGTGATGTAACGGGTAAAGCTACCGCCTGCAGTGCCAGCATCCCATAACAAGGCCAGTTCAAGTCCCGGCTGCTCCACTTCCGATCCAACTCCCTGCTAATGAGCCTGGGAAAGCAGCTGAAGATGGTCCAAGGGCTTGGGCCCCTGCACCCAACGTGGGAAACCCAGAAGAAGCTTTTGGCTCCTAACTTTGGGTCAGTTCAGCTCTGGCTGGCTCTTATGGCCATTTGGGGAGTGAACGGCCATTTGGAAAGTGAACTAGTGGATGGAAGATATCTTTCTCTCTGTAACTGCCTTTCAAATAAAATAAATCTTAAAAAAAAAAAAAAGGATTAGGGGTTACCAGGGAGTGACTGCAATCAGGAGGTACTGAGGGAGATAAAAATCCTAGCTCAGGTTTTAAATTAGAATCTACATGTTCCTTCCCAATAGTAAGTGTGGAGTGTGTGGAGTCCTAACAGGTCGAAGGATTAAACAGCAAATTAAATAGGGGTGTCTTATTTAAATTCCTTATGGCCAGTACATTCAAACAGAATGCTCCATAAGGTTATCTTCATTGTTCTCTTAAGATGGGAATGTCATCTGCTTTACTTCCAAATGTAAAATTGAGTGGAAAAAAATGTTTAAAATGCTGGACAGCCACAGGTGTTGTGGCATAGTGGGTAAGGCCGCCACCTGTGACGCCAGCATCCCATATGGGTGCTGTTTTGAGTCTCAGCTGCTCCACTTCTAATCCAGCTCCCTGTTCATGGCCTGGGAAAAGCAACAGAAGATAGCCAAAGTGCTTGGTTCCCTGTCACCTATGTGGGAGACTGGATGAAGCTCCTGGCTCCCGGCTTCGACCTGGCACAACCTCAGCTGTTGCAGCCATCTGAGTGAACCAATGGATGGAAGATCTCCTTCTGTCTCTTTTCTCCTCCTTCCCTTTTCCTCTCTCTCTCTGTAACTTTAAAATAAATCTTTAAATAAAAAGATGCTGGACATTGTGAGTAGACCACAACTGATTTCTGTCTCAATGAAACATCTTTCTTCCACTATTTAGTGTGTTTCTCCTTCAGCTTCCTGAACCTCTGTCCCACCCCAGATTTAAGCTAGGACCCCAAGATGAGACAAAACTTATAAATTCATAGCTCCCAAGAAATAAGGTAGTTTGAGATATAATAAATTCCTTGATGTTTTTATATTCTCATTACAAAAATAAATACAACATAAAATTTTCCATATCAATCATTTTGACATGGAGAGTTCAGTAGCTCTAAGGACATGCACATTGTTGTACATCATCACTATCCATTCTCCAGAACCTTTTTATCCTCATATTGAAACTCTGCATCCACCCCTGCCCTTCCGGCCCTAAGAACCACTACAGTGTTTTCTGTCCCTATGAATTTAACTACTCTAGGCAACCTCTAAGTGAACTCATACAGTATTTCCCTTTTGTGTCCAGCTAATTTCACTTAGTCTAATGTCTTTCAGGTTCATCCATATTACATAAGCATGTATCAGAATTTTATTTCTGGATTAACATTCCATTGTATGTAGAGTATTTGACACATTTATCTACTGATGCACATGGGTTGTTTTGACCTCTTGGCTATAGTGAATAATGTAGCTATGAACATGGTGTACAAGCATCTTTGTGAGAGTCTGCTTTCAATTCTCTTGGGTGTGTATCCAGAAGTGGAATTGCTGAGTAATATAATTCTGTGTTCAAGGAAATGCAATACAGTTTATACAGCAGCTGTGCTACTTTACAGCCCCACAAGCACAAGGGTTCCAATCTCCCCATGTCCTTGCCATCCTTGTTATTTTCTGGTTTTTGACAACAGCCAAGTTAGTGGGTGTGAAGTGGTATCTCATATGGTTTTGATTTGCATTTCTGTAACAATCAGTGACAGTGGAGCATCTTTTCATGTGTTTATTGGCCATTTGTGTTATCTTTGGAGAAATTTCTGCTTAAATACTTGGTAAAAGAAACTTCTACCCACAGAGTAGAAAACCATCCCCAGTATGGTGCCAGCATAGCTTCATTAAGCAGCATTAAGTGGAATCCTTTCTTTTGGCTAACAAAAAGAATAGAAGTGATTCTCCATTTAAAGTACATGATGTATTGTGAATAAGAATAGAGACAATTTCTCAATCGGATTCCCTAGGTTATGGATAAATGAATTTCCTACCTTTATACTGTCATGTGAACAACACTGAGTACTTATGGTATTAGTGTCCTATAAACTACTACAAACTTTGTGGTTTAAAACAACACAGGGGTCTAAAATCAAGGTATTGGCAGGTCTGCATAACCTCCAGGCTTTCTGAGAGAATCAGTCCATTCTTTTTCAGCTGCCAGAGGCTACCCTGCATGCTTCTGCTCATTGCCTCTGCCTCGCAAAACTCAACCTGTAGCTTCTGTGTTTACAGCTCCTACCATTGACTTTGAACTTCCTGCCTGTCCAAGGACTCTTGTGATTACCTTAGACCCACTACATAATCCAGGTTAATCTTCTCATTTTGACCCTTAATCACATTGGCTAAATCCCTTCGGCAACCTAAGGTACCATATTCATGTGTCCTCGGAACTAGGAGGTGGATGTTTTGGGGTGCCAGTATTCTCCGCGGCTACTCTGTGCCCGAAGAGTTAAAGAAATTGTGGCATGCAGTATATTCTGCAGAGATATTTTCTTTTTCTTCTCTTTAGTTGTTTAAACTGCCCAACTCGTTTACCAGCAGGCAGAGGACTGCCCGGCCCGCGTCTTAACTTTCGCTGAAATTTCACAATCACCTCTCATCAGTGTTGTTT